ATTTGATGGTTCGGGTCTAAGTTGTGGGTCGGGTCATCCAATGAATAAAATCGACAAAAAGAGCGATTATGAACCCTTCAACTTCAACGTCCTAGGAACCCGAGATGCTAGCAAAAGAAAAAAAAACTAGCTAGATGAAAGAAAAAAAAAAGAGAAGAAGAAAAAGAATGAATACCAAAAGCGTATACTTGATACGATTAGGTAGAATGGCGTGATAGGTTCGAGAAACATGTTTGGTAGATGATTGAAGTTCTTGGATTGGTTCTTGGTAGCGGTATAGATCCCATAGCTAGGAAAGACTATCCTTTAGAGAGGGAGATCATACTAGATAGACTTGATCATTGTTCACGGGGATCTAGGTCGGATAGAGGTTTCGCTCTCGATTATCATTTTGAGTTATGTCATTGTCTCGTCCTCCTTTCAGACCGCTTTTCATAGAGTATTTGCTCGAGGACGAGCAAAGGTTTAAGTCTAGGGGAGTTTGATAACACATATTTTGGGTGACGTTTTGATATAGGATGTCTAGCGTATTTCATTGGTTTTACATATTTGTAGACATTCTAGGGCACATTTGGCTTCAATATTGCATGGTTGTGTTCTTTGGTGTTTAAATAGGTTTTCACACATAAAGAGAGTAAAATGAGTGGAAAACATGGATTACGGAACATCACGGACAAACTCCTAAAACATCCTATATGCACATGCAACTAAAAAGTGAAAATAAAAGAGAAAAATGCATGGAACACTACTCTAATTAGATATGGTTTGGCGTTAGACGAATCCTCCCCCAGACTTGAACTGGACACTGTCCTCGGTGTCAAATCTCGTCTAGTAGAGGCAACCAATAAAATGAGACAAAAGAGAAGAAAATCAAAAAGGAAAAAGAATACTCAGCTCGCGATGTTCGTTCACTCGCACTTAAGTCTGCCTACGTCTATCACATAGCTAGCTTCCTCGCCTCCTCAATTCCTCATTAGAACTCAACCTGGTGATAAGAGACACAAACCAATATCCGATGCAAAAAGAAAAAGGAAGGAAACAAAACTAACCTAAGAACTTGGGTTGCCTCCCGGAAGCGCTTGTTTAGGGTCTTTAGCTTGACCAAACTCTCTCAACTACCAGATGGGTCTAACGGGCGAAGATTATCGATCTTCTGCCAACCTAGATCATGAAGTTTAAGAGCATCTCTACAACAAAATGAGTTTGAGAAATGAGGCGTACCTAGTAGAGAAAAATCTGGTGGTCTCAGCATATTGATGAATGCCGGTTGAAACTCAAAATTGTTACGGTCGATGTCAGGCCGGCGAATGCATGAAAGCTGCTGAATGTACTTAGGCTGAAGGTATGCCCCATAAGTGTCATTGTTGTTCTCAGCAACTATAGCACGTTCCTCCATCTTTCTTTGTTGTCGTTTCTTCTTTCGATTGCGCTTAGTAGAGTTCTCGATTTCAGGGTGAAGAGGTACTAGGTTGTCAGGCCCAGAACTCCTGGTCATACACCGTAATCCTGCACACCAGAAAGTAGAACAAACACAAAGAATAGATCAAGAAACTGAGGGAAAAGAAAAAGAAAAGAAAAAAAATCTAGATTCAAAGGAATCTTTATCCTAGCGCTAATCTATTCCCCGGCACCGGCGCCAAAAACTTGATAACGCAAATCTAGGTGTATAAATAAGCTCAAGTAATAAAAAACCTAGATACAGCGAATACCGCAAGGATACGGATCAACTGTAGTACCAGGATCGAACACAGGAAATAGTTAACACTAAGAACATGACTCGACTAAGAATCAGATCAGGAAATAGCAGATGGAATAGATGAATACCGAAAATAAAGCAATAAATTAACTAAGTAAAATCAGATAAATAAACCACCGTAGCTTCGGGATAACCTTAACACG